GAGCTATAAACCTTCGTGCCCGCAGATTTAATCAACAGACAGACACTGCCAAATACGAGGCAAGGACTTAATTAACTTGCACTCTTCTGGTGGAAGGGATGGATTTGTAACCAGCTCCACTGGGCAGGTTGTTCCCCCCGATTAGTTAAGAAATTCCACTCCCTTCTCGAAACAAAACGCGAATTTCTTTGCTCGGTAAGGCTCGCCATTGGATCCTGTATTGAATACGAGTATTCAATACGAGTATGTTGAATTAAAACTCGAAGGGCAGAAATACAACTTCAGGGTAGGGAATGGGGCTAACAACCCCTTCGTCGTAGAAGACCAACCTGTTACGAAATGTCATAAAGAATCTGCAACTTAAAACGAATATTTTTTCATGACCTATAGATCTTCTTTCTGTTCCAGTTTGAGTAGGCCCTACAGAGCACCTTTATGCCAATTCGTTTCTGTCGCAATTGCGGGTGGCTTCTCCTGATAGAAGAGACTGTAGTTCTGAAAATGTGTATTGATTAACCTTGCGAAGCTTGATATGTCATTCATTCGTTCATTCATCAGTAATCTGTCAGACGACAGGTCCACAGTCTCTTCCAAAACAGTTCCTCCACTTAATGCGATCTTCTGTTTTTGGAAAGAGACTATCCAGGAAAAGTGATAATGTGGTAGTTTTTCCATTTGCTTTCCACATCGCAGTACAACAGCCGTTCAAACCACTCTGGTCACGCCTGCTGCTATACGAACTTGAACCATCTCGAGCATCATTTGCTCTGTGCTTCAAGTCGCTGCTGATGACGCTGCTTCCGGCATCAGTTTTTGGTTTTTGGTGTCTCTCTTCGTCTGATACCTACCCTTTGACCTGTCCAGCAAGGGAGGCCCTGCCAGTAGCTACGCTACCGCTGGTATAGCTCTCAGGGTCCTTGGCATACTCAAACCCCCTCACCACGATAAGGTTGATATTTATCTAAATAAAATTAAAAAATTCTGTTCCTGCCTCAGAGAAAACATTACAGAGGCCAGTTAGTTAATGCAATGAGAGAAATAGTCCCTGTTTATTGCGAGACCCAGACGAAACACATAAATAAGACCTACTCTCTGTGGTGAAAATGCATGGGTTTTTAATGTTAAAGCAGGTAATACGTACAGTATGCACTATTCTATTTAAGTAATAAAAATAAATTATCATTATGGAATATGGCATAAAATGTGGAACATAAAATTTCAAGCAATATTCTATCATGAGTACGCAATTAAATGCAATTAATGGCGCTGCAGTGAACGCGCCTGAAATGTGAATCCTCCCGCTTCCACGTTGTCTACATCTGTTGCACTGCTGAGGTACCCGATTCGAATCTCAACTGATACAACATGCTTGAATCGCTTTATTTCCTTTTAGGCCGTTGAACAATATTTTCCAGAATTTTGTTCAATATATACAACTTATAGAGAGGCATCTTCTGAAACGGTTATGTCCGTCTGCGTCCAGCAGTGTACTCCTGCAGAAATACTGAGGGCGGCGACCGCTAACCGAGTTTTGTAAGTAAGATGCAGCCAAGTAAATTTTGAATTTCCAAGGAGCTCTGCGCCATGTATTTAGCACTTTAAAGATCAGTGGTTACTATATGTACCATCTGCTTTAACACTCTATAACTTTGCGCACTGTAACTCTGCATTCTATCCACATAGAGTATTTGCGTTCTGTATGGATTTCACACTAAACATATTTTTTCATTAAACAGCATTAATCGGCTGATATTTGTAACCGAGAAATAATGTGTTTCCTGTGAGCTATGAACTCAAATTTTATGTTATTTAGAAGAAATCCAGTCTTTAAGGTGGCGACGAAAAGGGAACCCAGTGTCTGTGGGTATAACTGGGCCACCTTGTTCCTGGGGGATATAAATAAGGGGACGTGGCCCTCCAGGTTGGGGCAGCCTCGAATCTGCGACAGTAAAATATGGTCATGAGTCCCGCGGAACCGGGACCTGAGAATGATTGCGCTGGCGAGGACCAGCATCTATTGTAAACGACAGACCCATCCTGTGGTCAGAGAGAATATTACGTCAAGACTGTGACCGCAAGGGTTCAGTTGAAAAAATAATAAAGGCCGTGAGTGTCAAGGGGCTTGGCGCCAAGACGAACTGATTGGCTGTAAACCGCCTGTCGTGAAGTAATTCTGACTCTGGCTCAGCCTCTAAAGTGTTAATTATCTGCTGTGTAGCATAATTTTAAATCCTCAGTAACTGTGGCAGTGAGACACTTCTCAAATTCCCGCCACTTTGCCACCCCGTGCAGTTTACGTAAGGGGCACAGCCTTGGAAACACTTTGAAACGATACTCTGTCAGGTTTCTTATTACTGCATTCCGATACATTTATTTTTCATAGCAGCTGTATTGATAATTACATCACTCTCATGTTTCGTGTGTGACGTCAGTTTCAAACAGCTGTTACCTATATTACCTAGAAATGGGGTCAAGGTCTCGTATCAATTATGTTGAATGTCTTTGTGCCAGTTCTTAAAACACTACGCTTGGGTTCAGAACTTTATATTGGTAAGTCCTCCGGTTTCATATAATGGAGCACTTAAATTTCATGGTCAAGGTTCAAAGTCTGACACGCCGTTTGTCGGACACACAGACCTGACACTCGGTTCGTAAATCAGCTGTTTAAATCTGACGTTCTTAATTCGAACTGTCGTTTAATTCATTCTTATTTAACTTTGCGGTGTAGTTGTTGGGATTCTTCCTGCATCTGAAGATCGCGGGTTCTATTTACGGCCCGCAAACTGTTACCCTCGGTTATCAGCTGTTATCGACATTTTGTTTATGCATGTTCTGAGACAGTGCCTTAGAATAGGACACGACTGCGCTGGTCTGTATCCTTCCTAATTCGTCATTCACTGACACACACGCTAACAGTCTACGATGCACTACCTATCTGTTGAAAGGTGTTATTAAATAATAAAAAAATCTATATTTTGTCGGCTGGGAAGTTGGCTAACCTGACTGGTCCTTTCATCCTTAATCTTAGCCTCTCCAGACATAAGTCAGGACTGTGTGCAAGGTCAGGCTACGACTACTTTTTTATTACTTCGAAGTCTGAAGTGCAGAGGGACTTTGACAATCCGAGCCCACATTAATGGGGAACTCCCAGTAATCCGAACAGACTTACAGTAAAAGGTGAAGCTCTCCCTGTAAGAGGCCGTAAAAGCCACTAGGGGTATGAGAAGTTGAGGCTCCCACATCTTCTAGGCCAGGCATGTCCAACGCGTCGATCGCGGGACGATTTTTGGTCGCTCTCATAGGCCTATAAGAAAATTATACGTGAAAAGCATGTAAATTCACTTGTCATATAATATGATTATATTCAGATTTTGAAGGGAAAATGCTTATTAGTTATTCCTATTTTTCTGTTCTTATGAAGCTTACGTGACAATTGCTTTACACTTGTGTCAAGCGAACTGTGAGGAAGTCCCTACTCTATCCTCATCACGCGAACTCTTATTTCACCACTTGTCGTCAGACGAGTGTGTTTTGCTGCAAGAGATCGACAGAACGCGTGATTCACTTCGTTCCCTCCCTCCAGTCAACTGTGAATCCCCGTACGTTGGACTAACAAGTGAGACGTATTATGATATTAGCTGTTAGTGGAGATTTGTCGCTTTGCTGTGCATTAAACAAATACAGAGTTTGGGGATGAGCCCATTGTAATCAAAGGGACATTAAGTGCTCTGCCCACGTTATTTTATTACTTTGGAAGGCGTCTGTGTGCGTGTGTAAGATAAAACAGTTACCTCAATATAGTGGAAAATGCAACGCCTCAGTATCCTTGCCAAAAAAAGGTAATCTGGAAAGTTATTATAATGCTCTCCATAACAATAAGTACGAGTATGATAATGATTTTCCACCCAAAAGTGAAATTCGTAAACTTAAGCTCAAAGAACTTAAATCGAAATAAGCTGCTCGGCAACAGTTGATGGCAAAACCAAGGTCACTTTATAACAATGCAACCAAATCATCCTTCAAGGTCAGCAATCTGATCGTTAAAAAATGCAAACCTTTCACTGAAGGGGAATTTGTATAAGTGTTTTCTTGAAATAGCTGATAATCTTTTGAAGGATTTAAAAATAAGAAAGAGATCATAGCTACTGTTCAAGATCTCTAATTATCAAGAAACACAATTGTGCGGTGAAAAGAAATGACGTGTGGAAACATAACTGAACAGTTGTTGAAAGATGTTTCCAATTGTGTTGCTCTCTCCCTCCACTATGCTACAAGCCGGAAGGTCGCGGGTTCAAGTCCCGATGAGGTCATTGGATTTTTTTTCAATTAACCTAATCCTTCCAGCCGCACTATGGCCCTGGGGTCGACTCAGCCTCTAACAGAAATGAGTACCAGGAATAAATTAAATAATTTTCCTGGGGAGTAAAGCGCGGCCGGCGCGTAAGGCTGACAACTTTCTTTGAGCCGATTGTCTAGATAATGTGGGACCCTCAACGTCTCACAACCCTATGGGCCTTCACGGCCTTTTACAGGGATAGCTTTACTTACTTTTTACTTCTACACATTTCCGTGTTCAGTGCATAAACCTACATTGTGCAATAATAGGGCGATGTGTACATTACAGGTCTGTTTCATCGCTGTGAACTTTGACTGCTAACAAGGACTCGGACTGCATGGAAAAGTTCTAAAACTTCCTGGGGGCTCCTTTCTCCAGATAAAAATAACTTAAGTCAAATTGATTTTTAATATATACATTGCTGCAGAAAATATTTCTTTGTTGCTTACTCGTAAGCTTCACGTATTTGCCGAGTGATGCTGCCCTGTAGATGGCAGTGAATGTTTTCACTTATTCCTCACCATTAAGAATCCTTGTCTCCGGGACATGCGTTTGACGGCTACTAACAATTTGAATGGATTAACATTTTATAATTTTGTTATTTTTATTCATCTATGAAGCGTTTTATTGATTTGTGTGACAGTGCTTGCACTTTCTGTTTCAGGCGTCGCCGTCTAGATGGAGGTAGCGCCAGGCGTCACGGACTCTGGCGCCTGCGCGGGCGTTGTCGGTAAAGTTCGCAGTGCCATTTCTGTGACGGAACCTCCGTGTTACAAAGACAGTGGGCATAGTTACAGAGAAACAGTAAGTGAAGACGACTTTGTAGGTTGCCATAATGGCAATGACTTTGATAGTGAAAGTGAGTGGACCGAAGATGTTGAGGAAGATAACTCTGATTGTCGAGACAACGCCCACTCCCAGTGCCAAGAACAAGTGAACAAAACATGTCATGTTAAAGATGGCGGTGATAAAACATGGCGATTGTATAACCCATTTAATTTGTGGCGGGAGAAATCATACAACACCCCCGCCAAAACTGAAAATGATGGCGATGTTATTGATTATAAATGTAGCAGTAGAGAAAATGTTTTAGACATAGTGTTTTCTGGTAATAATAATTATACCAACATCGAATCTGCCTTTTCTAAGTGTTGTGTGTTAGATGAAAGTAATTCTTCAAGTTTATCTAAACAAGAGATTCAACTTTCTGAATGTAACATCGATTTTTCAGATGTCAAAACTAACAAACACGTCAAATTAGTTGAAGAAAATAAGAAGCATGAGGAACAACAGATCTCATCAACGAACAATTTCGGGTCATTTGTCTTTGGACCCATTTCAAAAATATTTCAGTTTTCATATAGGCGTATCTATCCGTGTGCATTACCTGTAGTTACACCAAGTTGGAAGCCTGAGAAAATGGGTAATTTACAGGGTTCCGAAGGTAAGAATAAAGGAGGAATAGGGACAGGTAAGAGTCCTGCAAAAGGTAAAAAGGATAAAAGCGGTAAAAAATCTCCTGCTAAAGAGCTGCTGAAGCACAAATCACACGCCCCCGCACCTCCGACAAAGAGCAACAGCGGAACAAGTCAGGTACAACAAAAAGTAGTTCCGCTTCAGGGCAGCGTTCCGACAGCAGGCAGCCATGCTTCAGACAGGGGAGCCGCTCAGCTAGACCAGTCCTCTCTTGCCGGCGGAGAGACCACGACGTACGTAGTGACAGATTCGTGGAGGCACGTGAAGAAGTTGGCGATCAAAACACCGACACCTAACAACACAACGCTTATCACGCCACCCAGCAGGGACTCCAGCTCCGAGTCCGTGTTTACAGACCCTCTGACCCCACAAGGTTTCGCTGAGGCACACAACAACGCTAGCCTCACAAGCAGCTACTACTCAGACCCATGCAGCACGGAGCAAACGAACAGACTCGCTGGAAATTCAGCATATTTCCAAACACTTCCGGTCGATGGTATCGACGACAGCGTCTTCATATCGTTCAACAGTGACGTTGGCATGGTGGGTAGTGATGGTGTGAGTGACAAGGACAGGAGGGGTGGCTCTACACCCCCCTCAACCACTGATCTGGATGACGTCACACTGACATTGCTAGACAACAGCGCGGAACAATTGACTGATGGTGAAGACTTCGGGGGACCGAGTTTGATGACCTCGGTACAGAATAGACCCCAGTCACACAGTCTTGACGCACTGGACGAGGAAGACAATGCAGAGGAGCACGACAAGAAGACCAAATCACTGGACGCCCTGGAAGTGACTGCCGGCGGGGGTGCTCCACCCCATACAAGAACGACGCAGCCGCCTTCTTCCTTTACCTTGGTGAGACACCGTAAAGTCGAACTCAACCCCACCCGCCTTAGTGAACACTGCCTTCTGGCCTCAGGTGAGCACAGTCAAATGTTCCATATAAACAGGAAGCGTGTAAGTAGACTTAGGAGTTTAAACTGGCCTGGGAGTAAATACAGATAAAATGAAATAATTGCATGAGCATGTCACGAGACCTGGATCTGCAACGGAGTTGTAAGCTAGGTCATATGTCATAAATAGTTAACATTCTAAAATCGGCGACTATAAGGCAGCAGCAATTGAAATAGGCTGATATTCAGATGACATTTGGTAAAGCATACATTCAGAAAAATCATAATTTTTTTTTATTGCTAGTGGGGTGGGACTAAGCCCCTTGTACTGCGGTCACTTCTGGCCCATTGTCCCAGCCCCAGATGATATGCGAGGGTGATTGTGGAGCAATTGGTGGAATGAAGATTGGCTGGGGAAACCGAAGTACTGGGAAAAAACCTGCTCCAGCGCCACTTTATCCACCACAAATCCCACTTGACCAGACCCGGGATCGAACCCGGGCCTCCACGATGGGAAGCCAGCGACTAACCCCTTGAGCTATGGCACGACCAAAATCATAATTCAGTTAAAAATTCATCATTCAGTTTACTTCCCAAAGCCGACGTTAAGGATATGTGGTACAACAGTTGTTCTAGTTGCTATGTTCGGTTATGAGAAGCAGTTTTCTACTCTGAGTGAACAATATGAATTCGAAGGGTCTCGAAATAAAATATCCAGTCAGATAAGTACAGTAGAGTCGCATTTTATGCAAATTTGAAGTAGTAGGGTAAGCTAAAGTTTCCCCTTGTAATTAACTAATTAAGCACTACGCCATGAAGGCGTTGTATGGTTGTGAAAACTGGTCTCTGACATTAAGGGAGGAACATAGACTGAGAGTGTTTGAGAACAGGGTGTTGAGGAGAATATTTGGACCGAAGAGAGATGAAGTGACAGGAAGTTGGAGAAAACTGCATAATGAGGAGCTTCATAATTTGTACTCTTCTCCAAGTATAATTAGAATGATCAAGTCAAGGAGGATGAGGTGGACAGGGTATGTAGCACGAAGTGGGGAGAAAAGGAATGCATGTAGGATATTGGTAGGAAAGCCAGAAGGAAAGAGACCACTGGGAAGACCAAGGCGTAGGTGGGTGAACAATATTAAAATGGATCATAGAGAGATGGGATGGTATGGATTGCATTGATCTCACCCAGAATAGGGATCAGTGGAGGGCTCTTGTGAACACGGCAATGAACCTTCGGGTTCCATAAAATGATTAGAAATTCTTCAGTAGCTGCAGATTTGGATTCTCCTCAAGAATGGCTCAGTTCCATAAGTAAGTAAGTAAGTAAGTAAGCCATGAAGGCGTATGGGGGAGTGGATGTATAGATCCACATTTTCTTGACCTTGGCACTAGTTGGAAGTGAATGGTCAACTTCACGCCCCTGCCGCTTAACCCCCAGTACCCACTGGACAGGAGGTTGGATTGACCCCAGAGCCAGTCTGGACGACTCGCAGAAGAGAAAACTCTTGCCCCTACCGGGACTCGAACTCCAACCCCTCGGTCGTCCAGCCCGTAGCCAATCGCTATACCGACTGCGCTGTCCCGCCTCCTAAATTTCAAATAGTGCGATAGAAAAATATTAATAAAGTCTCATTTTATATGCAGCATTTGAAATTACGTGACTCCCCCCCCAAAATACCCAGTATCCTTACTTTACATTTATTCCTATGAGAGAACTTGTCTTGAATTATGCGAGGTCTTGAGAAACGCATCGCTCACGCAAAATGCGACCGTACTGCATCTGAACCTGAGTTGGAAACTTTGCGTTTTATAATGAGGAGCTTTTTCATTCACACGTGTAATTTATCCTCATTATTTCGATCTAATAATTTTTAGCCCACTTGGTCAAACCATGACTTTTCATGCCTTGACTCGTAATTACCAGACTGTCTGACATTCCCCAAACCCTGTTTATTTCTTTTGAAAATTTTGTGGAAAGAGAGAACTTGGAAAATGAATTACAAATGTGAGGGTAATAATAAAACAGTCCTGCAGAAATATGCCGTGAAGATGCGAACTGCACCGAAATTGCCCAAAGTTGTGGGGGGGAGGCTTCCTACATGACTGTGAGGAACCATCGTATTGCGCACTACCAGGGACGTGCTTGACCAGTTGTGTAGTTGTCGAATTTCTGTATCAGTTTGTCAGCGTCGATAAACAAACAAACAAGTCATCGTTCTGTTTATCGGGTCCATTTCCGCGAAGAAGCAGAACTGCATTTAATGCCATTATCCTAGACAGAAGACAAGTTAGCTTTCACAATTAGGGATTGTTTTTATAAAGTTTACTTTAGAAAAGCCCTCCTCTTGAATACAGCAGAATCATAATTCAACATAAAAGTCTTAATTGCAATAATTTTCTCTCCGGACGGCTTTCAAGGGGCTTGTCATAATCCTTTGATGGTGGTGTTGACCGGCCCATGAAATGGCTGCCACTTTTCATTTTTCCTTCCTTATTTTCTCCTTCTTTCAGACGCAGTATGCTGTTAGAATATGGTTCCTTGTAAGAAAGCGTTTACTTCAGACTAGATTTTGTTAGAAAACGTTTATTATACAGAACTAAATGAGAAAGGTGCGTTTTAATCCGAAAATCCTTAACGACCTTCAGGTTGCATTACAGTTTCTTTACTCATGTGTTTGTATAATTACGTAACAGCTAGGCCCTGTACTGATTATTGAAATATAAATCTCTAACATCACAGGAGCACTGAACATGGCGCATTGTACTGCCCTCTGTTAAAGTAAGAGGGGGCAATGGCCAAGCACGGGATCTGCGTGACCCGTACCGCTTTTCTGTCCTCCAGCAGCTTCCTCGCTCCTTCTCTTTCTGCCTCCCACGAAGCTCGCAATTGCCCGTCTAAATGCACCAATCCCCGAAGTTGTGGAGCTTGAGGGTCACAAGCTCACACAGACCGGAGCACGCAGAATTATCTAAGCCAGTTTGTTGCAGATGCAAATCTGCTGTTAACTCAGCGAATCATGGGTGCAGTTTCGATGCGAGATACCGAGGTGTTCACGGCGGTGAAAACTCGCATTTTTGTTTTCATGGTTATACGACACGGTGCAGTCTCGAAGATGGTACCAGTTATTACATGAACATAACTGTCTCCATCTGCACGTCTTGGCGATCTTCTGGACTATGATACGTAGTCTGGTAGATGGTACCAACATTTCGGAAGACCATACTGCTTCCAATGTAGAAATCTTCAGACTGCACGGTGTCATAACCTAGAATATCACAACATGAAGGCTACAGTTAGCACGCTTCTTATAGGCGTGAAGTATTGTTCTTTTCCTGCATGTGTCAGAACAATTTCGCCACTGACTGGAGGAGACGGCCTCCAGATATCAATATGTTAACAATGTAATTGCGGACAGCCGACAATGGGGTTATTCTGAGTGAGCAAGCGAGAAGTAGAAAAGTTATAATTTTCATTTCATCCATCCTGTTGTGTTATAATATACAACTTCTTTATTAAAACCGTCACAAGGTCAGTGCCTAGTTTGGCTTTGCTACATGTTTATTCTTTGTAACCTGGAAAGGAGGTTGGTCCAGCGGGGAAAGGTGAAATAAAACAAAATCTCGTTTCCGTAGTACAGAAAAAAAATCATGAGGTAAAAAGACAGCTCATAAGACCTTTAAAATACTGCAGTGTTCAAAACCTGGTGAATGGCAGTAAATTATCAAAAAAGAACTCTCGAAATAATTCAAATGAACATATCTCGTAGATTAATCCCACGACATAGCATACAACCAAATGAACTCCGTGGGATGTAGTCCGCAAGCGAACTATACCGACCGAGCGACCGCCGCTTGTCAGCGAAGTTAGTGCAAACTTTTGCGGATAGAGAGTGTCACGTGATCAGCGTAACAGATCCCCACGGCCGTTAATCTCGGTTTTCTAGACCGGAGCCGCTATTTCCTTGAAATAGCTCCTCAGTTATCCTCACGAAGCTGAGTTGGCCCCGTTCCAGACCCACTACTTCTCAGAAAATCTGATAGCACCGGGAGTCGAACCCGGTACCTCAGGATCCGTATCCAGGAACTGCGACCACTAGACCATAACGTGTAAATACGGTGTCAGAACTGTATAATTGAGTGTTACTCTTCACTTCTGAATATCGTGTCGTCTTAGTCATCATCCTGTAAGAATGGGATTAACAGAATGACTACAGCTGTTGCTGGGGCTCTGTGTAAAGTAGGATTTACGGGTTGAAGACCCCTTCCCCCCTGAATGTCCCTTTTTCTTAACGCCTGCTCTAAAAGTACACATCTTACAACGCTTGCGCCCTTTCGACCATCGATACGGTTCGTTGTTGGGCGCAATGTGTGTCTTCCCTTTGCAATGTATGTGCTGAACTGTCTGACCTATTGGCGGGGCTAGTACCTGGACGCTCGCCACGCAGTGGGGTAGGCCCCTTGCGGGTCAATGCCGTGACGCTCGTCACGAAACATTCATGTGACACTGTAGTTTCATTCGGCTTCTTCAAAGTTTGCGCACAGTACAAATTATCTTTGTCGGCGATTGATGCGCAAGAAATATCATACGTATGTGAGGCGCACATGCGCGTCCCCATCGTGACTCAAACGTCACGCGAAGAGAAGTTATACTCTCTTTAGCGTTTGTGACAAAGATATTTTGAAACAAGAGTCTCCAGAGCAGTCCCCCCCTCCCGAACCGAACCTTTAAAACATGTGCGATGGCATAGATTATATAAATTCTGGAAATGACGCCTGCGGCCCTCTATTCAGAGATCCCACGGGAATCGCATGCATAGTAGCTTGTGTTTCTTGCTTCAGTTTTGAAACAGCAAGGGGTCAAAGCAAAATGGCGGTAGAGAGGAAATGCGAACCGCCAAGTGGAACGGTAATGTTGCATGCTGTTCTACACGTAAAGCATACATACAGTCAAGTCTATGTATTTCTTCATGAATCAGTTACATGGAAAACTATTTGAAGTTGCTGAGCATCACATAGCTCAAAG